ACGGGTTTATTACGAATCAACTCAACGGCCTGCTCCCAGTTGGCTTGTTAGCTCAATTGGTAGAGCGCTGCACTAGTATCGCAGAGGTCAGTGGTTCGAGTCCCGTACAGGCCTGATTTTTTTCAGGTCTGATTTTCGCTATTGCTTAAATAGCGCTATCTACTGCGAGGATCGTGTATCATATGTATCTAATACCGCAGTTCAAAATATATGAACTTCATATATTTCATTGTATCTGATTTATCACTTTCACGGGTTTATTACGAATCAACTCAACGGCCTGCTCCCAGTTGGCTTGTTAGCTCAATTGGTAGAGCGCTGCACTAGTATCGCAGAGGTCAGTGGTTCGAGTCGCGTACAGGCCTGATTTTTTTCAGGTCTGATTTTCGCTATTGCTTAAATAGCGCTATCTACTGCGAGGATCGTGTATCATATGTATCTAATACCGCAGTTCAAAATATATGAACTTCATATATTTCATTGTATAAACGCATTTTACTTTGAATAATACGATCGCTGATCAGAACATCGGTTTAATCCGCTCTAGTCTTGTTCCTTTGAGCGGGAAACTAGCTTGGTTTTCAGATAGAGTTCATTTTTAGACAGGTGACTGAAAACATTTTGCGTTAGCGCTTGTATGAAGATTAGGAGCAAGCTTGAGAACAGTATAATTGCGTACCGTTTGAAAACAGAATAAAATGGCCTATTCGACCTATTTCACACGTATGAACACGATTAGACTTTCACCTCGTTAAATCCAATATTAACCAACACAACGAAATTTAATGACTGTAAAATCCTTAGAACATCATTGATTCGAAAACGTTCTTCTCAAACTATTTTACCCGAAAAGCCACATGGGACAAAGCCACCGCCAGGCAGTTCCCGGATGGTCACAACAATCTTCCCGAATAGCAGAGGGATCTGAAATTCGAACAAGTCATAACTAAAACTGTTCATGTTCTGAAAATGTCCTTAGCTCAAATAAACCGATCCATTAAATTCTCTCATCTTTACTGAATCTCCAGTGGAGAGATTCTAGTGATCGGCCGCTTTAGGACCTTGTCCTTCACTCGCACATCTACGACTCTCACGAGTCCGTCTGGTCCAGGATACGTTTGCTGGATTCGTCCTACTTTCCAGTCTCTTCTAATAGCATTAGGGTCAAATAACAACAATAACATCTCCGACTTGAACGTTTTCCACAGGGAAGAACCGTTTTGGTCTCGATCCAATATGCGGTAAATACTCTCGCATCCACCGTTTCCAAACGTGTTTCGTAAGCTCTTGGACTCTTCGCCAACGCTTGAAAGGTGTGCTGTCTACACTCTCGGGTACAAAATCGCCTCCCATCTGTCCGATCAGAAAGTGGTTTGGATTCAACACTAAGTTGTCATTTGGGTTCTCACTCACAGCTGTGAGAGGTCTCGAGTTGAGTAGGCTTTCTACTCCAACAAAAATCGTCTCCAGCTCCTCATCACTTACTTCTGCATCACTGAGTACCTCAGCTATCGCACGTTTAGCTGACTTTACCATTGACTCAGACTCCGCCAAAATGCGGCCCATCAGGTGGATTCCATTTCCATGTTACTCGTTTGTTGGAAGTCATGCGTTGCACCTTGTCTAGGTCATTTGCTGTGACTAAGTCCTTTAATTCATTGGACGCTTCCCCAAAGTTTGTTCCATTATCACTCAACATCTGCTGAGGCCATCCCTTTCTCCCAGCCATCCGTACAAATGCAGTAAGAAATGCATCAGTATCTAAGGACGACGCCAACGCTAGATGGCAGCAATGGGTCTGTAGACAAAGGAATAAACACAAATATCGCTTCGTTCGTACTCTACCACGTCCCTGCTTGGTAAAGTAGGGTCCACCAAAATCAACTGTACAATTTATAAATGGCCTGGATGTTTGCTGTAGTCTAATTCTTGGTAAAGGTGCCATTTGCTGACAGGCTGGCCTTGATAGAAATCGTTTCGCACACTCCCGACACTCTTTCACGACCCTTTTAACATGTTCGTGCGCATGGACCACGAAATACTTCTCCCGCAGGTGATTGAGGGTATAGTTAAGTCCCATCCGATGACTTTCTGATTCATGATAGTACTTAGCAATCAGTCCGGTGACTTTATTTCTTTTTTGAAAAATGATTGGACATTTCACTTCATAGGGAAGATCATCTGCATTTTGTAATCTTGTTTTCGATGTCAAAATTCCATTAACCAATACTGGATTCAGTGGTGCCAGTGTACTTTGTCTTGGCATCAGCTTGTTTTTTCTTAGCGTCTCCATTTCTGCTCCATACGCCTTAGTCTGCATTTCCCTGACAATGGCTTCTTCGGCATCTGAAAGTTCCAATGGCGTAAGCTCGCCCTTCAATCTCTGTCGGCTGGTCTCCTACAGTTTGCATTAAATCGGTGTACCCAGGCTCTCACTCTTACTAGAGACAAGCCAAATTCAGTTTCTCCTTCCTTTTTACCCGAAACCATTTTGAATACCTCGAGGGGTTTAACCACCAAACACCTTCCTCACTAGCATTTTCACCGTCAACACTCCCTCCACCTTCCTTGATAGTTGCATAGCTACAAGTCTCCTTCTCTGAAACTTCCTTTCCTCTTTTTAATTCAAGACTCTCTTCAGAGGTTGGTAGCTCGAATTTTCACTCTGGCCACTCTTCTTCTGCCCTCTTCAAGAACTCAGGCCCATTCCACCACTGACCTGTGCTTGCTGAATCTTCAACTGTCAGGCACCTTGTCCCGTAGTCAGCTGGGTTTGCGTTAGTCGGTACGTAGCGCCACTGACTAGGGACTGAACACTCGTGGATCTCGCCCACACGATGAGCTATGAATGGCTTGTACTCTCTGCTTTGACCTCGAATCCAATATCCCACATTCATACTGTCCACCCGGTATGTCACCTCGTCTGTGGAGATCTTGAGGGCTGAGCAAATTTGCATTGTTAGTCGTGTACCAATCAACACACCTAGTTGCTCCAGCCTGGGGATACTAACAGCTTTCAGTGGTGCAAGTCGGGACTTAGATGCAATCAATCGAACAGTAACATCATCATTTTCATATACATGACGTGCGCAGACTGCAGCTGCATATGCACTCTCGGAGGCATCTGTGAATGTATGGATACTCAACTCCACTACCTTAGCCATGGGGTCTTTGGGATTTGCACTAGTTTAAGGTCATTCAACTCTCGAAACCACTAAAGCCACTCTTGCCGATGGTGTTTCGGCAACAAATCATCCCATGCCCCCGCTTCTTGCCATGCCTTCTGCATCAACAACTTTGATCTGATTATGTAAGGCGACAAGAAACCTAGTGAGTCGTACAAGGTAGCTGTCTTTTTTAAGACATTTCTTTTGGTGAATTCAAATCCACCAAATTTCAAAGAGTGCCGAACAATGAACCTGTCCTCTGTTGTGCTCCACAGGACACCAAGGGTCTTGGTAGTTGGCCACTCTCTCTTCTCTAAATCGATCTCAGAAGCTCTGTCTTCTTCCTTTATGTCAGCAATCGCATTAACATCGTTCGATACCCACTTGCGGATGTGAAATCCAGCCTTGTCGTTTCATTCGGTCAGTCGCTTCCTTGTTTCTTTAGCCTCCTCTATAGTGGGTGTTGAAAGCATGAGGTTATCCATGTAGCAATGTTCCAAAACTGCTCTAGCTCCCAACGGGTAAGTCTTCATTTTAAATTCTGCATGTTTTTGCCAAATGTACTGAACACAGAATGGGCAATAACAACCTCCGAAAATGAACCTCTGAAATTCAAACAACCTGGGTGTTTAAGTCTAATTTCCTATAGAGAAACCTGTGCAGTGGCCTGTCAACTTGTCTGAGAATTAGTTGATGGTACATTTGTGTCACGTCACCAACTAAAGCAAATGGCTCTTTCCTGAACTTCACTAAGATGTCCACAATGTCACTCTGCAACTTAGGACCTGGTAACGATTCATTGTTTAAACTCTTTCCATATTGCTGAGCCGAGCCATCCAATACAATCCGAACTTTGGTTGTGGAATTCTCTGGGCGAACCACTGGGAATTGTGTAGGGAACCATTCTGAGGCTGGTTTTGTCTCTATCTCAGGAACTTCTCGGATGTATCTTCCTGATGGAACTTCCTGATGTAGTCATCAATCGTTGATTGATGCGCATGAGCGAGGCTCTTATCCTGCATCTTATGCATCTTATCTTTTGGACTGAGCGAAGGCACTTTTCAGCCATCTGTCGGTTTGATTGCAATTGTGGTCTATCCTGTTTCCTAGGCACAGCAACCTCATATCTCTCTCCGATGAATCTCATGGACTTTGTTGACCGCTAGCCTCTCATCTAGAGTCAGCTGTCGATCTACTCGATGCCAATAGCCTCGAGGTTCCAAAATTGTTTCATCAGATTGTTAAGCTCCCCGTCATTACCGTCTGACCTCTGCATCCGGTAGGTGTGAAGAAATCCTGTGCTACACGACTCATGTTGCTCACACACGTGGTACCAATAGCTGTACACCCTAGGGGACCCAGTCTTGCACTTGGCTCACCATCCCTTCCACGAACTTCCTTCATAGGAAATAGCAAATTGTCATAATCTGAACCAATGAGCATGTCGATTTTGCTTCTCTTCCCTAGTTTAGGGAAGGGAATGTTCTTCAAATGTTTCCACTGATATCTAACCAGTTAGTCGGTTTTATGCCACCACAAATACTGTGCGATGTTTTCGCAACAATCACAGTGTCTACTCGACCATCCAAACTCTCTAGTCCAATCTCCATAGTGGCTGACATTAAATTAACCTTGTGATCATTTGCAACCTTAATAGTAACTCTTTCTTTTCGACCTTCCAAACCTAACTCTTCCACCACTTCTTCGTTTACATAGGTGGTATCACTACCCTTTTTTAAAAAGCAGTTAACTTGCAAACGCTTGGCTCCATGTTTCAGAAAAACTGGGACGGTGCGAAGGGCGATTCTTCGCTGTTCGTGTTCCTTTACTGTTTCATACGTCATAGACATTAGATGCATTGCAAGACATTGCAATGCATGCCCAAAAGACGATAGACAATAATGCCCAATAGACATTAGATGCATTGCAAGAATCAGTATTCCCCTGCATGGAACCTGGCAGACTTTTGCTTCGATGAAGTATCTGGTGGTGATGCTCCTTGCACCCATCCACACCACACTCTTTACTCCAACGACATCCCTCGCACTCTTTTCCTAAGCAACGATAACAAAGGCCTAGCTTCTTCGCTGTCTCCCACTTCTTTTTATTTTCCATTCCTTTGAACACCTCGCACTTCCATATTTGGTGTTTCTGGTTGCACACCTTGCAAGGGCGGTCACATTTATCTCCAGTCCCGAAGTACAACCGAGGCCATTTGACAATGTTACCACTTGCACTGGAAACACCATTCTTTACCCCGGATGCTTGACTTTGGTATACTGCTACTTCGGCGACCCACTCCCGCAATTCCTCAAAAGACTCCAGCTTTCCCTTTTCTTTAACCCGTCTGTAGTACTGGCTAAGCAAAGATTGGGGAATTTTTTCCAACACAATAGCATACAAAGTTCCGCCTTCAAGATCTGAGGTGTGTTTGCTTTCCTTTAAAGTAACCACTGTCCTTTCCACTAGGCCAGCAAATCTTTCCAACTCTTGAGGGTTCTCAGCATTCAAAGGTTTCATCCTTCTCAACTCTTCAATATGCGCCTGAACCTGTCGCCGGTTTCCTCCTTACTTTCGATTCAATCTCGCTTTTGCTGCTTTATAAGACTCCGACGAATAGCCTAAACCTCTCACCGTAGCTGCTGCTTCACCTTCCAAACAACCTTCTAGCCGTAACATTTTGAATTGTCGTGACAACGAAGTCTCATCAACGCAACTCGAGAACGCTGCCCACCAAGCAGAATATTTCATCTTGTCGGCCGAAAACTTAGGAATTCGAGTCAGCTCCAGTTTGTTTGTTTGGGTCGGCCACGTGACTATCCCTTCGCACTCGTGTCATCTGATTTCCCGCCTTTTCTCTGAACAGTAATTCCTTCGCTTCCTTTGTCCACTCCTTTCGCTAAAAACAACCGAGCTGCTCCTGTTTCGCTGTCGACACGGTCCACTATGTCATCGGCTTCTTGATCCATTGATGCTACATTCGTCCTTTCTTTACTTTCTTTGTACAAGGTTTGAAAAATTCTCCAATAATTCCAGCAATTCGTCTCGTCGCCTTTCGATGTCATTTAGTCTTTCCAAAATGATTTCTTTATCGGCGCTTCCAGCGACAATTCCACGGCTAACTCGTTCAAATATTTCGCAAGACTTGATTTAAGCGATCGCTTATCCTTTTTTAAGTTCTCCAGAGTTTCCATTCTTCCAACGAAGTAAGTTTGTTTGCTCAATTTCGATGTTCCACACGCAGCCAAGTTTCACTCTTGCAAATTCCAACCCTTCCAACTCTAAGACATCCAAAATCTCCACTAAAAATTACGGTAATCCGGCTAGCTCTCTATCCGGCTCGAAGGTCCAAATGTTAAATCCAATATTAACCAACACAACGAAATTTAATGAGTGTAAAATCCTTATAACATCATCGATTCGAAAACGTTCTTCTCAAAACTTTTTTACCCGAAAAGCCACACGGGACAAAGCCACCGCCAGGCAGTTCTCGGATGGTCACAACACACCTTTCATAATCATTGTTGCCTATCACGACTATTGCAAGAACCAGTGGCTCCTAAAGGAGCCGTTAATGGGTTATTTGAGGTTTCTGAAATTTTTCTAGCAGTCAAGATCATAAACGCCTCAGCGTTTGAAGGCATCAAATACATCCACTGCGGTAACGGTCTTTCGTTCGGCATGTTCGGTGTAGGTCACAGGTTCACAAATAGCCTTTGTTTAAGAAAAATTTAAAGACTCCTCACTTCTGGTCGTAAAATAGCCCAGAAATGCAGTTCAGAACACCGCTCCACCCCGTTGGATTGCCGGCTTGGTGACTACATGGATGTTGTCATGTAGAATCTTACCATGACGCTCGGTAGATAGATAGATAGACAGATAGATACTTTATTAGGCTCAGAATCCAT